CCTAAAAAAACCCTAAAAAACCCTAAAAAACCCTAAAAAACCCTAAAAAACCCTAAAAAACCTAAAAAACCCTAAAAAACCCTAAAAAACCCTAAAAAACCCTAAAAAACCCTAAAAAAACCCTAAAAAACCCTAAAAAACCCTAAAAAAACCCTAAAAAACCCTAAAAAACCCTAAAAAACCCTAAAAAACCCTAAAAAACCCTAAAAAACCCTAAAAAACCCTAAAAAACCCTAAAAAACCCTAAAAAACCCTAAAAAACCCTAAAAAACCCTAAAAAACCCTAAAAAACCCTAAAAAACCCTAAAAAACCCTTAAGAAACCCTAAATAACCCTAAAAAAAATCCCTAAAATCCCTAAACCCTTAATTGAAGGGTATCCTTCAATGTAATCCCCTAAATAAACACGTTTATCGTACTCCCCGGGTCCTAAAGTAGACCCTACATACCTCACAAACAACTTTTAAACACTTTTTGCTGGAAAAAGAATTATTTCCTTTTTTGGGAAACAATACCGGTTCTCTAGGCTTTCCCTAGACTCGGAACGGCTCGTATCTAAACAGGTTTTAGTCGGCTCGGCCCGGATGTAAAACTGCAAAGTTGTTTTGAAAGTCGAAACTTTAATTTAAAGTTTCGACTTTACCCCCTATGATAGTTTCACCCATGACCATCCTTTTAAGTTTGTCGACTTTCAGACAGACTTGGAGTCATCCGGAAACAACTTGAACCACATCTTTTTGTTGAAAGACAAGGTCCCCTTCGTTCTACTTCCCGTTAAAAAGACGTCAACAGAACTTAAGTCAACTGACACCGGGATAGAAAGTATGGCACATGTACTCAAACTCGAAAGATAATTGGTTCATATCATAATAATCAAGATATGTCTATCCGTAAACAAATACTGCGGATTAGAAATAGTTCACCCTTCTCAATGAGAGAAAGAGAATGGTGAAAAAGTATATAAGAAGACAAGGCTGAAGAGAAAAAATCGAAACAAGCACTTGTCCCAACGTCTTCTTTCTTTTACACACTCTCAGTCCCTTAAACACCTTTTTCACACCCCTCCTATTATAAAAAAACCCTACTTCATTCTCACCACTATGTCGAACATGAATATCCAAGGATCATCCGGTCGCCCCCAAGGTGGTCAAGACATCGCCTCCCTTTTGGCTCGCTCCGCCGAGACCAACCGAATGCGAGATGCCGCCATCATTGCTGCCAGTGCCGCCCAAGCCCTTGCCCAAGCCCAAGACCCTGATGACTCCGAGATGGGAGTGGATCGCCCCCCGGCTGGATCCACCACCCTCGATGACCTTATTATACGTTTGGGTTTAGCAACCCAGACGGAAGGTTCCTCTCTCCACCCTGGCAGTTATCTTCCCTCTTTTAAGAAGGGAGCTCTATCTGAAAAGGTGGCCGCTGACATTCTACACAAGTTTGTCAATAGAGCGGCCGTTTTGATGGATAAAGTCAAAGCGGCAGAGAAAGTTCTGCGAGAACTGAATGTACACACAACTGCTGACTATTGGGGTAAACCCTTTGTGAACAACAATCGTGTTACATTGTCCAAGGAAGCACAAGCTTCTCTTAATGCTGAGTACAATCTACTCCTTGTCAATGTAATTCGCAATGACAAGGTTAGTGTGATTGCCAAGGCTCAAGAGGAACTTGATCAAACCCTTCCGAAAAACCTATCTGATGCATTACAGGCATCATTGGTCTCTATTGAGACTAATGACCGTCTTACAATGCAAGGTAAGGACTATACTCGCACCCTTCTTAAGGCGGCTGCACAAGAGTTTGTCACTCAAGTACAGGCGCTGAGGGTTACCGCAGAACTTGAGGCAGTTAACAATGGATTAAAGGTACTCCATCAAATTGTCTATGACTGGTTTGCCCCGAGATTACATGCTATTCTCATTTCATCTAACCAATATCTTACTTCACCACGCTTAGAAAATCAAGCTGAACAAGACTTCCGCAAAGCGCGGAAAAGGCAAATCACCCCCTCACAAGCGCAAGAACGAACTTTCCAAGTTCAAGGGCCCAAAAGGCCCCGCGCCCAAGAAGGGGAAGAACAACAAGAAGAACGGACCCAAACCCAAAGGACCCAAGAACCATCCCAAAGGGAAACATCCGTCCGCGAAGGCAGGCAACCAAAGAAGCCAAAATGGCGCGCGCCGAAACGCAGCCAGAAAGAAGTAATTCATCGCGATGTCCAAAGTTTTGATGGAGTAAACAACATTTCTTCCATCACTACTATTCCACATGATATTCTTATTGTTCTAAATAAAGGAGTCAACTTCAACATCCATAAACAGCCCAGGTATGATCTGTTAACTAAAGAGGTGTTGAAATTGAAAAAACAAATGTTTAAACAGCTTAAAAAAGCCGATAAATATATCACAAACATTCACTTCAATGCGAACAAACCACAATTAATATCTGACTTAATTACATTGAGATCTTCAAACCCGCATAAGAAACTCCTTCCAAAAATCAACAAGACCATCAAGTTTATGACAGACAATAAACTTATCATTGGCCCTGCTGATAAAAACTTGGGGCTGACTATTATGGATAGCAGCTGGTATCAGAACCAGTTGTTTAATCTTCTTAATAATCGTAATCTTTATGAAAGAGACCCCTATATTGATGTCTATGTCTCCCTTAGGCATCTTAAACAATTCGCCGCACGTCTTGATCAAGAAGAACACAGAACTTTTGTTCGTGAAACTGCGGAAATAATGGAGGACCTATATAGAAAAAATAGTAACTATTTTACAATACCAGTTATGTATCTTCTTCCAAAGATTCATAAGTCGCCTATTAGCGTCCGCCCTATAGTGCCCTCCTATCCCTGGTTTACACATACGATCAGTGAGTTTGTCGATGAACAACTTCGCGATTACTTGGTGGTATTCCGCCAAGAACTACCCGATACACCCACATTGATTCGTAAACTAGAACAATTCCATTTCAATCCAAGCTATGATTATTATGTCGCCACATATGATGTCATAAACATGTATGGAAGTATAAATGTAAATAATGCTATAGAAACTATCATTAATTACTTTGATAATGATCCAAGAGAAAACCACATCAGAGATATGATGAATCTTGCGTATTGGGTTAATAAAAACTGTATTTTATCCGATGGTAAAAAACTATACAGACAAGTTACAGGACTCGCAATGGGGACGCCTATGGCGCCAACTTTTGCTCGCCTGTATGCATGCTGCGTAGAGAAAGGCTACATATTTAAAAATATACCCATTGACCAAGTTTACTTGGACATTGATGAGGATACTTTTACACAACTTGACTTTCTTGGCAAACAAAAATTCGACTTGCAAATACTTAGATACATTGATGATGGGCTTGCCCTATTCGGTGTTCCTAGATACCAAGGAAATGTAGTTTACATGACCGAGGTAGCATCAGATCTTAAAGGCTACTTTAATGAAGCACTTTATAAGATCTATGAAGAAGCAAACGACTTGAACATTACTATAGACCATGGACTCCATGGCCGCCAAGTAGCAATGCTTGACTTAAATATTACTATTGTTACTGAGAACTCAATTCAACGTATTGACATTAGTCCTCATGACAAACCCATGAATAAACACCTATACACTAGTCCAGATACTTATTTCCCTAATAAATATATTTTCAACTGGATTAATGGTGAAAACCAGCGTTTAATCCGGAACTCCGGCTATGCTAGTTATCACAAAGTTGCAAGACAGAACTTTATTAAGTTCCTCATACACCGCAACTATCCTGAACCCGTCATTCAAGAACAACTCGGAATGCACAGTTACGAAGAACGACATCAGTTGTTGTATGGTCGTACTGCTCAGAGCCAGGCTCCCGCCGATTATAATCCACCATCAGATAAAGATGAGGATGATGATATTGAAAAGAGATTCTTTTTAAAGAATATTCCTGGTAGACACAAAGTTGAACGCTTTGGTCGTAACGTAGTTCAGGCTATCCTAAAATCCAATCCCACTAAATTTAAAGATGTTAGTGCAAACTGGATAATCTATAGAGGTTCAAACATCCGCGATGAGTTGAACAAGTATAATAGAAAGATCTTAGGTCAACGCCAAATCTCGGCGAGGCTCTAAGGATGACATACAATGAGTATTAATCGTCTATCTAGACGTTATACCCAGAACCCCATATCTTACACTTGGTTTTAATTGAATATATATTTTATGGGATTTAATAGAGTTAGGTAATCTTAGGTTTTTTGAGGGAGTCTTAGCGGTAAGGGCTAGACTTGATCCTCTTTGACCCCGATAAAAAACCCTTAAGAAACCCTAAATAACCCTAAAAAAAAATCCCTAAAATCCCTAAACCCTTAATTGAAGGGTATCCTTCAATGTAATCCCCTAAATAAACACGTTTATCGTACTCCCCGGGTCCTAAAGTAGACCCTACATACCTCACAAACAACTTTTAAACACTTTTTGCTGGAAAAAGAATTATTTCCTTTTTTGGGAAACAATACCGGTTCTCTAGGCTTTCCCTAGACTCGGAACGGCTCGTATCTAAACAGGTTTTAGTCGGCTCGGCCCGGATGTAAAACTGCAAAGTTGTTTTGAAAGTCGAAACTTTAATTTAAAGTTTCGACTTTACCCCCTATGATAGTTTCACCCATGACCATCCTTTTAAGTTTGTCGACTTTCAGACAGACTTGGAGTCATCCGGAAACAACTTGAACCACATCTTTTTGTTGAAAGACAAGGTCCCCTTCGTTCTACTTCCCGTTAAAAAGACGTCAACAGAACTTAAGTCAACTGACACCGGGATAGAAAGTATGGCACATGTACTCAAACTCGAAAGATAATTGGTTCATATCATAATAATCAAGATATGTCTATCCGTAAACAAATACTGCGGATTAGAAATAGTTCACCCTTCTCAATGAGAGAAAGAGAATGGTGAAAAAGTATATAAGAAGACAAGGCTGAAGAGAAAAAATCGAAACAAGCACTTGTCCCAACGTCTTCTTTCTTTTACACACTCTCAGTCCCTTAAACACCTTTTTCACACCCCTCCTATTATAAAAAAACCCTAAAAAAACCCTAAAAAACCCTAAAAAACCCTAAAAAACCCTAAAAAACCCTAAAAAAACCCTAAAAAACCCTGTCGCATATTTGCCTGTCTCGGGGGTGTCAGCTAATGTAATTAGGCTAGAGACAGTAATTTAGTCATATGACCAGACACCGACATAAATGGAGGTGTCTGGGCTGTTAACAAAGATCCCTCTCTTGTCTTATCAAGTCGATTGTGCGTGACTAGCGTAAAAATTTTCATTTTTTTTGATAAATACAACACGGATCGGGATCAGAATCCGTCGAACGATTGACAGGATCCATCCACTCATTTATTTATTCATTCAACCCATTACGAGGAACACTCCATCAATCTACAGGAGCGATTCAGGACGTAACGGGAGCATTTACGGATCATTACAGAACAGGACCTTTACTGTCAGGATTTTTCTCTATTTTCAGGATAATCCAACAAGGACAGGATCCTTTTCTATTATTTGTGGTCATTTCGTGCGTGTATCTGGTCACTAGTGACAAGGTTACAGCAGAGACTGATCATTAATACGAAGTGTAACAGGCGGTTACTTTCGTTGTTATTATTTGGTTACTATTCTACCTTTTTGTGTTGGAGCTTTCAAGTGCGATCATACATATGTGTGGTCATTTGAGGTCTTCATATAACACGGTAGCAGAGATTCATTAGAAAACTCACCGTTAGTTTTGATCAAGGACATTCTTGTTCAAATAAACGCGGGATTCGTCTTTGTTCGCATTTAGGTGTGCCCTCATCCGAATTCATTTGCATCAGAAAACTTTTAGTTTTTTCTGGGTGTTGTTTTTTATTTTTATTTTGAATCAAGTGGATCACTGAGCAAAAAAGTACTGGAAGTTGACGTTAGGAGGCCTTTCAGGTCCAAGTTATCATATGGTGTTTGTTACATCTCTGTAGATCTCGACAATATCCATAGCGACTATGGGATGAGAATGTATATATGATACCAAGCATATAAGACAACCATTGTAACATTTTTTGTTTAACTATCCTACTAAACACCAACCTATTCTCCAAACAACAAAGTCTTCTTATTTTTCGCACACCACACTCTTGAATATGTCCATCTACTATTAACCTGTAACCCTCACTGCAAGATTCGCCAGAGTAGTTCTTGTATGTCATCATCTAAAGCACTTGTACTCTCAACTGTATCTTTGGGGCGAAATACAGGGGAGAGATTACATTTTAAAAAAACATGTGCTGTCTATTGCTATTTTATTCTGTGTTCTGTTGCCCACTATGAAGAGATATGTCAGTTATGGAAGTAAACACTCCGTTCCTTGGGCTTTGGATATTTTTTATATGCCTTTTTATATCCTCTGCACATGAAGGGGCCCCTACCGAAAAAAATATAAAAATATATTTGTATTCTCAACTATGTGCTTGCTATATGATAGATACCATCCTACATGCTGTTGTGTATGCAGTTAAGTATAAGCCTTTTTAAAAAATTGTTATTGTTGGTTAACGTCATGACAATCCAATACATAAATATTATTATGGATCTAACAAAACACTTCCAACAACTGCTTGATGACCATTGGACTTTCCTCAACGCTGGATGGCCAACAATTACACCACGTAATAATCATCGTACTGTAAGCAAGGAAATTGGGTATATGCCAGAAATAAAAGAAACCCTAAGGAGGCCATCCATGTTCGGCTCCACCAACCATAGACTACAGTATAAAAATATCTGTCAACACCTATTAAAACAGTGTGTTCCTTGATAGTACAACAAATCTCATCAGCTTTTTCCTTCCACCAGTCTCCATTTTCTACATTCACCACCACTACTTTGTAACATCATCTACTTTAGCTGAGAAAGCCTTGGACATGATCATCTCATATTGGAAAGGAAATTACTATCTGTAATATCTAGGATCCAATATGAGATGATCATGTCCAAGGCTTTCTCAGCTAAAGTAGATGATGTTACAAAGGAGGCCTTTCAAGTCCAAATTATCATATGGTGTTTGTTACATCTCTGCAGATCTTGACGATATCCACCGCGTCCATTAGAGGAGAATGTATATATGATACCAAGCATATAAGACAACCATTGTAACATTTTTTGT